CACACACACACACACACACACACACACACACACACACACACACACACCTGGTCTGGGAAGAACTCCAGAGTAGCGAGTGGCAGGACAACGAAGAAAGCAGCAGCCCCGGAACATCCCTCCGCCCTCCCTTTCAGAGCACATGGGTGGTGGCGGTGGCAGCGGTGGGGGGGGCGGGCAGTGGTGGTGGCACGGCTATGGGAAACCCCAGCCTCCCTTTCCCTCTTCTCCTATCAAGCTGGCGGCCAGGTGCGGGGAAGCCCAGGACAGGCACAAGGTGGAGGAGGCACGGAAAGATCCCACTCTCTCTCTCACACAGACACATATACACATGAGCGGGCAGTGGGAGAAGAAGAAACTGAGCAGCCCCTCCCTTTCTGAGCCCCTCTGCTGCCCCTTGCTTCTCTTGGGTGGCGGTGGTGCACTCCCACCCCACCCTGATCCTCCCAAAGGAAATGGGTGGCTTTAGGTGTGCAGCAGCGGTGCACCCCTGCCGCACCCCGATCCTCCCAAAGGAAACAGACCTCCACATGTGGTGGTGGCCAGGAGTGGCTGCTCGAGCATGTGGAGGTACTTTGGGGGGGGGGGTGCTGCTCAAGGCCCACAGCTCACTGTACTGCAGCTGCCATGTGGTAAGGAGAGCTGGCATGCCATGTGGTGGCTTAACCAGCCAGCTGAGGTTGCGGATGGGTGGGTCAGGTAGGTAGACTGGGCGAGGCCTGAGGAACCCCCGGATATGGCTACAGGAGGCCCAGGGAGTCCCAGAGATGGCAGCGCGAGGCCCAGGGAGCCCCAGAGATGGCTAAGGCCCAGGAAGCCCCGGAGATGGCCGCGGGAGGTCCTGGAAGCCATGGAGATGGCCATGGGAGGCCGAGGGAGCCCCGGCGATGGCTATGGGAGGCCCAGAGAGCCCTGGAGATGGCCACGGGAGGCCCAGGGAGCCCCGGAGATAGCTGTGGGAGGCCCAGGGAGGCACGGAGATAGCGGTGGGAGGCCCAGGGAGCCCTGGAGATGGCTGCAGGAGGCCCAGGGAGCCCCAGAGATGGCTGCAGGAGGCCCAGGGAGACCCAGAGATGGCTGCAGGAGGCCCAGGGAGCCCCAGAGATAGCTGTGGGAGGCCCAGGGAGGCCCGGAGATAGCTGTGGGAGGCCCAGGGAGCCCTGGAGATGGCCACGGGAGGCCCAGGGAGCCCCAGAGATGGCCGCGGGAGCCCCAGGGAGCCCCGGAGATGGCTACAGGAGGCCCAGGGAGCCCTGGAGATGGCTACGGGAGGCCCAGGGAGCCCCAGAGATAGCTGCGGGAGGCTCGGGGAGTCCTGGGAACAGAGGGGGAAGGGCTAGCATGACTTGCAGGCTTACCTGTGAGCAGGCATATTAGCGAAGAGGCTCACATCACAGCGAAAGGCAGGCAGGAATGGCTGCCCTTGTGGGCAGGCAGAAGCAGGCTGCAGGCATATCACACATGCGCAATTTAATCCAGTTCTGTGGACATGGCTTAATTTGTGAGTGTGGCTTGCTGGCCATGTGACTGGCTTGGAGTGGCTTGCTGGCTGTCATGGCCTGGTGGTCACATGACTGGCTGGGCATGACTTGGTGGTCATGTGACTGGGTGGGCATGACCAACTCAATGTCATTCACATCAAGCGGTGCCTTGCCTGGTCCCTCCCCTCCCAGCCACTCCTCAACTTATCTATAGTTCTATACAAGTATTGTTCACCTTTTTTTGACTTTATTATCTACATACTATAGATGTACTTTCATGGACCACTGAAAGGAGGAAATGGCTCACATTCTTTGCCCAAGAGGATGATAGGCAACAGGCTTTTAAAAGTCTGGCAGAAAGGGGGGGGGGGGGGGGGGGGGGCAATGTATTTTCCAAAGAAGCAGAAAGCAAAACAAGAAGCAATGGATGGAAACTGAACAAAGAGAGAAGCAAACTAAGAACTTCTAGGTGCTTCGACACTGGAGATTTTTAAGAAAAGACTGGACAGCCATTTCTCTGAAATGGTATAGGGTCTCCGCCAAAGTCCCTTCTAAGTGTTATTCTATTATTCTGATACCCCCCACCCCTGCACCCCCCTGCGTCCCATTGTTGGCATTGCAAGCCTCCCTGCACTTACTTGGGAGCCAGAACCAAGTGCATGGGCAGGGTCAGTTGGTCTTCAGAACTACTGGTTCGCTGAACTTCCGGTTGCAGGCTTTGGGGGTGGCAGGAATTCATGATTCTGTGGGTCCTTGCTGCACTCACCACTGAGGTACCCCTGATCCAACTGGATTTGGGGGTTGTCGCTACCCCAGAGGGGCAGCGGAAGATAGAGGAGATCCGGGCAGGGGTCTGGAAACATGGCAACCCCTTTCCCCTGCCAGATAGACTCCTTTTTTTTTTCCTGAGGCAGTGGAGCGGCTGTCAGAAATGGCAGCCACAAAGGAATTTTCAACCGGATAAGATTTGTGCAGTAGGAAGAATCAGAAGGAGAAAGTTTTCTTGGCTGAACTGGGACATTAAGATACTTTTAAACCTGACTTTTGGATTGATACATTTGTTTCCAAAAGAAGTTGCTAAAGCGGCGAAAGTGCTGAAAGGAAAGTTCACTCCCTTTCCTTACGGAGAAAGCAAATAAGCACTGGAAAATCTGCTTCTTTAAGGTAAAAATAAGCTCTTTGTTATAAGTGGGAAGGAGAGGACTAAAAAAATCTTTAAAAATTTGTTTGAGGAGACGCCTTGAAGATTATAAGACCAGCAACTAACTGTAATACGGCTTTAAAATATATTTTGGGATTTTGCCCCAGGAGAAAAACTGCAAAGAGAAGAAGAGGAAATATTTGGTGTTTGTTTGGATTGTTTGATAACTTTGACACTTGGAAGTTACTTTAAGACTAAAAACATCTGGGTTGTTCTTAACAATTTACAATGGCATCATCTGTGGATGAATTAAAAATGGAATATGAAAAATTAAAGGAAAGAGAACAAGAAGGCAAGGATTCTTTGGGAGCTGTCTTCCACTTTTTAGAAATGGCAGTTTCTACATATCAGCAAATACATGAGGAGGAGGAGGAGGAGGAGGAGGAGGAGGAGGAGGAGGAGGAGGAGGAGGAAGAAGAAGAAGAAGAAGAAGAAGAAGAAGAAGAAGAAGAAGAAGAAGAAGAAGAAGAAGAAGAAGAAGAAGAGGAGGAGGAGGAGGAGGAGGAGGAGGAGGAGGAGGAGGAGGAGGAGGAGGAGGAGGAAGAGGAGGAGGAGGAGGAGGAGGAGGAAGCCATTTTTAATGGACAAAAAAGTTCAATTAAGAAAGAAAATAGGAAGAGAGGAAGGAAAAATGAGAATTTAAGATTTATTAAAACAACCAAGAAAAAGAAAAATAAGGTGAAAAAAAGGTACAATGTTAGAAAGCAACAGAATAGAGAAATACAGCAGAGAGGGGAAGTTAAAAAGGTGGAGGTTAGGAGGGGGGGGCAAAAAGACCAGACTGGAGAAGAAAGGGAGGGAAAAGGGGGGGAAAAGCCACAAAGGTCTGAAACAAGATGTAAAAAAGCAGATCTTTTTCAGAGACAAAGGATAGAGTATAATTAAAGAAAGATTCTGCAAGAGTACATAAGATAGTATTGTAGTATTTGCATTTGAAATAGTCCATTGGAATATTATAAGATTTAACAAAATATTAAAATATTAAAATGTTTAATAATGATAGATCTCAATATTCAATAAAATATCAAAGAGAATTATAAATTTACTATTTCATTTTCTTATTTTAAAATAATGTATTAAGTAGAATTAGAATTAGAATGGAAATTATATATTTAACTATATTATAAATTTATTATTCCTTTATTTTAAAACGCAACATGTAGAATGTACTAAGCAGAATCAGAATGGAAATTATGTATTATTTTAAGTGTTAATTTAGGGGAAAGATAGAAAGGCGTTACACTTTAAAAGTGATTACAGGGGAAATTTTCTATTAAAGAGAAGTGATAAATAGATAATTGGAAAAGAACAGACAAAAGATACAAGTATAATGATTTTAAAATAAGATGAAATAAACAAAATATAATTAAGAGAGTGAAAAGAAGGGAGAAGTTATATAGAAAATATAGAATGGTAAATAAGATAAGAATGGTATATAAGGTGAGCATGAATTTGATTTATGTCTGTAAAAAAAGATGTAACCCAGGGCTAAGCCACTTTTCAAAAGAAGTTTTATGCTTTATGTTTTGTGTTTTAGTTAGCTATATTTGATTGAGAATTAATAAAACCTTGGAGGAATAAAACTAAAGGGAGAAACAATGAGAAATTTGGAAAAGACATGTACAAATGATAATTAAGGAGGTTTTATGTTTTTTATGTCTTGTTTTATGTTCTGTATTTTGTGTGTTTATGTTTGATTGAGAATTAATAAAACCTTGATAGAAAGAAATATAATTGAATAAAAGTGAAGGGAGAAACAATGAGAAATTCAGAAAAGATATATAGGTGTTTAAATGGAAATGTGATAATTTGGAACTATGCTGTATAAATGTTTATATTTGATTGAGAATTAATAAAACCTTGATAGAAAGAAATATAATTGAATAAAAGTGAAGGGAGAAATAACGAGAAATTTGGAAAAGAGATATATGTGCTTAAATGGAAATGTGATAATGTGGAACTATGCCTTAAAAAATAATGTTTTATTTGCCTTGTTAAAATTCATAAGTAATTTTTAGAAAGGAGGTTTTATGCCTTTATGTCCTATGTTTTGTTTGTCTTTAAAAAATCAATAAAATTCATCGAACCAGATGTACATTTAACATAAATTAACAAATCCTTAGAATCCCACTGCTGAAGTTGGTGGAATTAAAACTGAGGGAGCATAATCTGAGTGTTAGATCAAGGACTACAAAGAGTTCTCTTAGCACTTTGCACAAATCACTTTTTTAGCTCTAGAGAAAAAAAATCACTGCAATTCTTCATTAGCCATCCCTTTTCCATCTTATATGTTTTTGCAATGATTTTTGCTCTTAATGTAAATATGGATCATGTCCTGATGTCCTGATGTCTTATTTTGTTTCATCTCTACAGTTTTGAACCTCTCTCTGAGTTCAGCTCTTGTAGTATCCAGGAACATCAGAGGTATCTTCTTAGAGAGAGACCACAATGCATTCTCAACAGACCCTTGAGCACAGATATTGTTACACCTCCAGTTTGTGGAAATTACTTAGTGGAGGTGGGAGAAGAATGTGACTGTGGCTTTCCTATGGTAAGATTTCTTTTAATCAACAAGAGTCATTTGAAAAAAATTTCTCAAAAATGTGAATCCTTGAAAAATCATCTGGCTTTCTAAGTGGTTTGAGCCATCCAAGAGGCTGGTTTGTGAATGGCATAGGTTTGTGCCATTTATGTACATGCATGTATGCAGTGGTTCCTTGGATTTGCATAACCAGTTGTAAGGGAATAAAGAACTGGTATCTCATTAGTATTTGGGGAAAAGAATGGGTGATTTACCTCTTTTTCCTGACTGAAAACCCCTATTTTGTTCACATGGCCACTGTTCCATGATTTCTTGAGCTGCTTCCTCCCACAATTTATAATCTTTTATCTATGCTCTAGTCCCTAATAATCTTTTTATAAGAACAGTTATTTAGTGAAGTGTTCTCTTTATATTGTCAAATAAACATGTAATGGTTTGTAAGAATGTCATTGAGAGACAAAAGAAGGAGGGAAAGTCTACTCGATGGTCATATAGGAAATAGATTAGCCTGCAGAAGTAATGGGGCATGGCAAACATCTCATGAGGAGCAATGTGCATGGCAAACATCTCCCACCCTCTCTCTTGGTCCATAAAGATGAGGGGGTAGAAATATTGAAAGATTCTGCTACTGTAACCTTACAACAAAGGTAGTGTTAATATTCATGGTCAGTGCTTCTTCTCTGGATCACCTCAAAGGCTGGCATGAAGAGTAGAATACCCTTCATGAATAAGGAATGGGGGCTTTAGGTTATGTGGGATTCACAACTGGGAGATGAGGATATTTTTGTTTGTTTTATTCTTTTCACATAGGAAATATCAGATAAGTCTATTTCCTGCAGATATGCCATGATCTATTTTCAATAACAAACCATTTGTGCATTTGCTAGCATGAACCCATAAGAGAAAACACATCACAGAAATATATTTTCCTTGGCAGTTTTCTTCTTCAGAATAGACCAATTAGATAAAATAAGTCTATGACATCATTTGATATGTTTTGGTTTTCAGGATTGTCAAAGTGCCTGCTGCAACGCTACAACTTGTAAACTGCAACATGAGGCACAGTGTGACTCTGAAGAGTGTTGTGAGAAATGCAAAGTAAGACTTGTTTATTTTTAACTTCAAGAAAGATCTTACCCTGGTCCATACTAACCATATAAAAATGTAATATCTCTTGGCTGTTTTCTCTAGTCTGATAGGGATCATTTGAAATAAATATAAAAATTTGGGTAAGATGGACATTTTTATAGTTGCTACTCTTCCCAGTAAAGATAATTGCAATTTAGCCCATAATTCCAAATATTTTTTTGTTTGTATAATAATTTATCATAATTATTCTCTTTTATTGTTTTACATTGTGCGGTCAGCCATATACCTAGATATTTAATTTTCTTTATTGTCGGTAATCCCATTACTCTTTCTAATTCTATTTGTTGCAATTCCATTAGATTTTTGGACAGGAGTTTTGTTTTCTGTCTATTAATTTTCAGACCTGTCATTTCCCCATATCTTTCTAATTCACTAATTAACTCCTTTCCTGTTTCTATTGGATCTGCAATAAAAAAGACCATATTGTCCGCAAAAGCTGTATTGCAATTTGTATTCTTCTATCTTGACTTTTAGTCCTTTTATTTCCGGTTTTTGCCTGATTCATCTAAGAATCTCAAGTGATAATATAAGAAGCAGAGGAGAAAGAGGACAACCTTGTCAAACTCCTTTTTTTATTTCTAAACTCTGGGTAATTTTGCCATTCACTATAATATTTGCCTTCTGATTGGAATCTATTGTTGTTATTATGTGTTTGAATTTAGTTCCTAAGTTCATATAAATTTGCTGTATCATGAATTGCCAGTTCAGGTTATCAAATGCTTTCTGAGCATCCAAAAAGACAAGTGATATTTGTTTCTCTGGGTGGACATCATAATATTCCAGAATATCTATTACTGTTCTCAGATTGTTCCTAATTTGTCTGCCTGGCAAAAATCCACTTTGGTCTGTGTGGATGTATTCATTCAAAAGTCTCTTCAATCTGTTTGCTATAATGGTTGTGAATATTTTATAGTTGACGTTAAATAATGATATTGGTCTATAATTTTGGATTTGTCTTGTGTCCGTGCCCTCCTTCAGGTTTAGCGCGATAAGAGCATCCCTCCATGTATCCAGCATTTAACATCTATCTAGTAGATCTTCCATTATTTTATAAAATTCCCCTGGGAGACCATCTGGCCCTGGTGTTTTATTGTTTTTCTGGTTTCTAATTGGTGATTTAATTCTACTATCGTTATCTCTTTAGTTAAATTTTCCTTTAGATCTTCTCTATCTATAGGCCTCATTCTCCTCTCAAGTATTTTGGTAGTTCTCTTCTTTTCTTTCCTTTTTTCCCTTTTTCCCTTTCCCTTTTATAGTTTTTTTATAGCCTATTATTGAATTATAGTCTCCTATGATGCATATATTTCTTTGTTCTAATTCAATAATTTTTTAATGTAACATTTTGTAAAATTCTTGTTGGTTTTCATTGGGTGCATAGATTACTACTAATAATACTGGTTTGAGTGCTATCCACACTTCCATCATCAAAATTCTTCCATTGGGATCTGCAAACATTAATTTCGCTTTTATCTCCTCTTTAATATATACAGCTATTCCCTTCTTTTTTCCCTTATCTGCTGTGGCAGTGTATAATTTCCCTAATTTGGGGCATTCTAAATATTTTTTGTCCATTTTTTGAATATGTGTCTCTTGGAAACATGTTATCTCTACTTTTTGTTTACTTAATTTTGCCAATGTTCTTTTCCTCTTTATTGCCAAATTTAAACCATTTATGTTAATTGATAGTAAATGTATTTCTTCTCCCATTCTCTTAATTGTACCTAATTCTTGTCTTCTGCTTGCCCGTAGCTCTCTTTGTGTTCTGGTTGTTGCTTTTTGGTCTTCTTGTTCCTGTTTTGTTGATGATCTGTTCTTCCCATTCCTTTCTCTTCCTCTTTATTCTCTTGTTCCTGATGTTCCTCTTGGGAATTTGATTCAAGTTCCTCCTTGCTGCTCTGATCTTCTGGGCCTACTAGTTGATCATAGAAGTCCTGTGCCTTCTCTAGAGTGTCAATTTTAATTCTCTTTTCTTCCCATGTAATAAGCATCCTTTCGGGAATCAGCCATCAGAAGAGAATGTTCCTTTTGTTCAATTGCACAGCCAAAAACCTATAGTCCTGTCTCTGCTCCCTCACCCTTCTCGGGACCTGTTTCAATATCTGAATCTCCTTTCCCTTATAAACAACAGGTTCATCTCTCAAAATTCTATATACAATATCTCATACTTTTCTTCTTCTAAACCTTATGTGTACTTCTTTGGGGAGTTTATGTCGCCTGGCATAACTCGTGCTTACCGTATACGTATTGTCCAATTCATTCAGTATTTCACTTTTGTCTCTTCCTGATGTATCTGCTAAGATTTCAGCCATTACCATTTCCAGATTTCTTCCTTGGTTTCCACATCATTTTGGAATCTAAGATATGACGCCTGGTCCATCTAAAGGTGGATCAAAGAGTCTTCCATTTCTTTGTTTATTATTTTCATTTGCTGATCGACCCTTTCTAATCTTTTTCGGTTTGTTCTGTTCATTTTTTGACTTCTTTTATTTTATGTTCATTCTTTTCTAAGGCTTGTTGAATTGAGCCAACTTTCTCATCAAGTTTAGATATGTCCGATTTCATTTCATTTTTTAGTTTTCCCATTTCTTCTTTGATTTCATTTATATCTGCTCTCATTTCTGTATGATTCTTCATCATTGTATCCTGAAGCTTAAGCATCATTTCCTGTAATGTAAATAATGTTGTTTGTATACTGATGTTAGAAGCAGGTTTCTGTTTTTCCGCCATTAGCATCTCATCAATTTTTTTTTGTGTCACGGGTGAAGCTACTGTCATTGAAGTTGTTGCCACTGATGTAGGTTTTTCCCAGTCTTCAACATTGTGATAGTAATGCTTGTCATTTCTTTTAATATTTCAGCTGGAAGTATTTTTCATTCTCACCCACAGCTTAAGAAAGCAGGAGCAGAATGCCGGGCAGCAAAGGATGACTGTGACTTGCCTGAAATCTGCACTGGCCAATCTGCTGAGTGTCCCATGGACAGCTTCCAGAGGAATGGACATCCATGCCAAAACAACCAAGGTTACTGCTACAATGGGAAATGCCCCATCATGACAAACCAATGTATCGATCTCTGGGGGCCAGGTAAGTCGACCTTAGGATTTCAGAATAGTGGTATTGTAAAAGACTAAGACAATCATTGCATTAAATATTTTCTCCTTTGTATTCTGTTCTATAACAGAGTTAGAAGGATGCTTGGGGGGTCTTCTAGTCCAACTCCCTACTCAAATAGGAAACCTTATACCAATTCCCATCTTTTCTTTAAAAATCTCCAGTGTTGCAGCACCTACAACTTCTGAGGGATTTGTACAGATGGAATAATTTTTCAAGATGAAGTTCTTTCTTTGGAAGGTTTAGAGCTCAGCCCTCCAGATCTTTTGGTTTAAAGCTCCAGTCATCCCTAGAGAACAAGGCCAATGGTCCAAGATTCCCCTCCAGCCATTGATTTTCTGCATGGTCTTCTGCAAGTTGCATAAAAGTGGCTTCAGATTTTGTGCCCATAAAATTCAACAACAAGCAAGTTAAATGTAGCGCTGTATCAGATAGAGAATGATTCAGGCATAAAGAGGATTAGATAAATAATGGGTTACAAAATAATAGGTTACAAATAAGCAAATACTAATAATAGTGTCTTTAATCCTCTAAAATCTCTTAAGCCATTCTTTATCCTGCTGACATGTTACACTCTCAGGTAATTGTCCTGATTCCTCACTCCCCTTTACAGGTGTAAATGTGTCTCCAGATATATGTTTTACGTTGAACCAGTATAGCCAAGGTTGTGGCTTCTGCAGAATGGAAAATGGTACAAAGATTCCGTGTGCAGCAAAGTAAGCAATCTAAATTATTTCCTTCTATGATGATGATATAATATAAGAATAATAAGAAATATTTTAGGGTCTCCACTGTGGGAATATGATTCGGTCATCTGGCTAAAACAGTAGAAATGTCAGCCAATTTCTGAATGGCTAATTTTCCTTTGTTTGCCATCTTGGGAAACTGCCTTTTAAAAGATTGTGTCAGAAAGGACAGATAGTTCTTGACTTACAACCATTCTTTTAATGATTTCCGAGAAGTGACTTACAACTGGCCCTTGCACTTACAACTGTTGCAGCATTCCTATAGTCATGTGACCACAATTTGGGCGCTTGGTAACCAATATATATTTATGAGGACTGCAGTGTCCCAAGATCACATGATCATCATTTCCAACCTTCCAGCCAACTTCCAATAAATCAAAGTCAATAGGGGAAGTCAGATTTGCTTAACCACCATGTGATTTATTTAGCAATTGTAGTGATTGACTTAACAGCCATGGCAATATGATCATAAAATTATGTGCAGCTCACTTACCAACAGCCTTATTTAGAAATGGAAATTCTTCATGCATTTGTGGTCATAAGTCAAGGACGACGCTATAATCAGCCTTTCCCTTTGGGCTGACATTATCCAGCTTTGTTTACCCTGCGTATTTCTGAATAAACCCTGGTTGATGAGTTTATTTAGTCATAAATCATGATTTAGAAGTCACCATGGCTAAATTTGCACCACATGTTGGGGCAAGATACAGTGTTGCCAGAGCTAATCTGAAGAAAGGTCAGGCCAAGACTGATTATAAGAGGAAGATTGAGGATAATTTTTATAACATGAGGCAAGTGTGGTGAGGGATTCAACAAATTACAAACCATCAACTGACCAATGTCATCCCTGCTGAGGGGGATGCTTCATTGGCAGAGGAACTGAATCATTTTTTTCTTGCTTTAAAGTGGAGAAGTCAAAGACAGATAAAATACAACCACCAGCCAATTGTAGCCCCCAACCTCATTATGGAGGAACAGGATGTGAGGAGCATTCTGAGGGCTGCGGACCCTAGAAAGGCTGCTGGTCCTGATGGTATCTCTGGCCGAGTGCTGAAAGACTGTGCTGATGAGTTGGCTGGAGTCTTTACCAGGATCTTCAATCGGTCTTTATCCCAGTCCACTATTCCATCTTGTTTGAAGGCTTCCACCATTGTTCCACTGCCAAAGAAGTTCCCTATCAATAACCTCAATGATTACAGACCAGTGGCACTCACTCCTATCATCATGAAGTGCTTTGAGAAATTGATCTGCCGGCACATCATTTCTGGTCTTCCGCATACATTTGATAAACACCAGTTTGCATACAGAAGAAATAGATCCACAGAGGACACTATATCACTCTTCACACTGCTCTGACTCAGCTAGAATGGGGGGAGGGGGATATATGAGAATGCTGTTGGTGGTGTTTAAACTTCTGGACCTTGGACTTTCTTATTCAATCTGCCTTTGGATTATGGATTTCCTGTCTGTCCCCTCACAGAGGGTTAGATTAAGTAATCATACCTCTTCAGCCCTTATTCTTAATACTAGTACACCACAGGGTTGTGTGTTGAGTCCCTTACTCTATACTCTTTATGTGCATGACTACATTCCCACTCACGCTAGTAATACTATTGCTAAATTTTCAGATGATACAACAGTGGTTGGACTCATCTCTGGGGGGGATGAGTCTGCCTACCGAGATGAGATGGATCAGTTGCTTTTGTGGTATGAGACAATAACTTGGTCCTCAACACCAGTAAGACCAAGGAGCTTATAGTGGATTATAGAAGGAACAGATCAGACATCCAGCCCTCGCTTATCAATGGAGACCAAGTGGAGCAAGTGGCCAATTATAAGTTTCTGGGTGTTTCTATAAAAGAGGACCTGACCTGGGGTCATTGCAGCCCTGGTCAAAAGGGCCCAGCAAAGATTATGCTACCTGAGACTTCTCAGAAAACAACAACTGAATGAAAAACTGCTGGTGATCTTCACCATAGAGAGTATTTTAACTTACTGCACCTCTGTAGGGTTTCCCAAGTGGCATATAGGACAGCACTCCAGAGGGCTCACATCATTGCCCAGAAGATCACTGGTTGCCCTCTCTCCTCTTTGGAAGAGCCTTACAGCTCCTGCTGCCTTAAGAAAGTTCAAAACATTCTCAAAGGTCTATCTCCTCCTGCAAACCCTTTTTTTGAACTATTACCATCTGACAGATAGTACAGAATAGTAAAAAATAAATATTTTATTTATTTATTCATTTCTTTGTTTGTTTATTTATTTGATTTGTCAATAACTTACAAGATAATAGGTATAAGTATATACATTGTTATGAATACATGAAATGGGTACATATAAGAAAAATAAAAAAATATATAATTTTATATATATAAAATATAAGAAAAATAAAAGAACAAATAGGCTGAAAAACAGTTTCTATCCAGACCCCACCACCTACCTAGAAAAAACTACCAAATCCAAAATAAAAGCCTCCCCCATCAGTGAAGAAATCCAGCAAAGAATCATACCCAGAGAGAAATCATCCAGATGCCCTAAGCTTTATGGTCTCCCCAAGATACACAAAGAAGGAACCCCACTCAGACCAATAGTCAGCTCCATAGGCTCACCTCTACAAAACCTGGCCAAATTTCTCGCCAAACAACTACAACCCTATGCAGAATCCATCAACTCACATGTAAGAAACTCATTCCAGTTCATCGAGATCATAAAGAAACAAAACTTACAACCCAGCGACCTACTAGTAAGCTTCGATGTCATATCCCTCTTCACCCAAGTACCAATAAAAGAAGCCTTGACAGCCATCCAAAACAAATACAACCCCCCCAAGCACATCCTGGATCTGACCAACCACTGCCTATCCAATACATACTTCACCTACAATGGACAAAAATACAAACAAATAGAAGGAGCACCCATGGGATCACCCCTCTCACCTGTCATCGCAAACCTCTACATGGAACACTTTGAAACACAAGCTCTAGAAAAATACGACCACAAACCCAAACTCTGGCTCAGATACATAGATGACACCTTCATAATCTGGCCACACGGGAAAGAAAAACTGAACAACTTCCTCACACACCTCAACAGCCTACACCCCAAAATACAATTCACCATGGAAACAGAAGCCAACAATCAACTTCCCTTCCTAGATGTCTTGGTATACAAAAGATCCAATGGCTCCCTAGGACACACCATCTACCAGAAGAAAACACATACAAACCGCTATCTACATGCACTCTCACACCACCACCCAGCACAGATCAATTCCATAGCCAAAACACTCATCTCCAGAACAAAATGCTTAGCCGATGAACAACACCAAAAAACCGAACTACACACTCTCACCAATGTACTTACAGCCAATGGATTCCAAAGACACAAGATTACCCACCTAATCCAAAAAGAAACCCCAACCAAAATCCAAGACAGAGAACAAGAAAACGGCAAAGCCCTCCTCCCATATATAAAAGGCACTACAGACAAAATCAGCAAGATCCTCCAAAAACACAACATTAAAACAGCATTCTGCACAAACAGAAAAATATCCACCATCCTAAGAAACCCCAAAGACAAAATCGAATTAGAAAACCAAGGAGTATACGAAATCCCCTGCACTGCCTGCCCTGCCACATACATTGGACAAACTAACAGAAGAATAAATGCACGCATTGAAGAACATAAAAACTCAATCAAAAAAGAAGAAACGACCTCTTCCCTGGTCCAACACCTCAAAGCCACAGGACATGAAATTGACTTTAAAAATACCAGAACTATCGCCAAAACCGAACACTTCAACAGCAGAATAATCAGAGAAGCCATAGAAATAGAAAAATGCCCACACAGCATGAACAAACGAGATGACACCTCCCGCCTTCCAGCCATTTGGAAACCCGCCCTCATGAACAGACGAGTACCTAACATGAAGAAGGACACCAGAACCACACCCATGAGAGCCACACAAGATGCCACCACCACACTTCCATGTAGAAAACAGACTCACACCCACTCAGAAGATGAGACACGACCATGGACCAGAAGCTACACTGCAGCTGCATCACTGCCCACTTCAAACCCCTCCGAGCCATACATGAAGCAGGCTGACACCCACTATGGAGATGCAGCGCGACCACGAACTCGAAGCCGTGCAGCAGGAAATCCAGCCAATCAGAACACGGCCAACCCCCCAACCAATCAGAACACAGCCAAGCCCCCACCCAATCAAGTCCCACCCCCACTGGCAGTTGGAAGGAAGAAGCAGCTGCAATCTCACATCACTCCGAGAAGCAAGAGCCAAAGACCTCAGAGGCCTGATGATGATGAATGAGACTTCATCGAAACGTTGCCTAGATACTTTGAATCTTACGCGGGAGAAAACCCGAACAACCAAAGATCCATATATATATTATATATATATAACTTATATATATCCATTATATAAGTTTCTATATAATCAGTTTTACAATATTCTAAAAGTTTCTAACTTAAAAATATTATATTTTAAAGTACCCAGTCTGGTTTTCTAAATATGCTCTTTCAACAAGTCTGTTACCCAACCTCCTATTCCAATAATGGCTCTTAAAGCTCGCCTTGATGCTTTTCTTCCAGAGGTGGAATAGGAAAACTAATTCCACCTGTCCTTTGGGTCTCACTTTCACTCAGTTGTTTCCCAGGGAGCTCCTTCTTCTATAAATATTAGAAATTCAGAGTTGAAAGTATCTCACCCTGATCGATCACACCGTCTTTCTGTCTTATCTCTTCTTCCAGTGGCTATCCCAGCTTCATAAGGGCATGCAATGGCTGCCTCCCCTGGCTGCCGAGCTGGAGAGCCTTCTCCAGATCAGTCAGGGAGATTGTGGGCTTCCTGAGGTCAGCAGAGTGTGCTCTCTTCATTTGTCACTCCTCTGAGGCAATTTAGATCCATTTTGACCTTCTGGCAGCTTGGATATCAATGGTCCCACAGAGCTCCCGTGAGGCACATCATATCACTGAGACATTAGCCCACCCACCCACCCCACTTTCAGGGTTTTCCAGGTGGACAATGGATGCATTACTTGCTCTTAAGATAAGAATCCTGAGTCACTCATCTTCACCTTTAAAATCAGGGAAATCACAATGAGCCAGTTGGAGATACAGGAACTGTGGTTTATCTATTTTGTTCCAACCTTGAAACACCTTATGAGATTTTTCAGTTATGTGTTAGGGGCAACTAGTTCCTACTGAGGCTGAGCAAACTTCTGGTTCTCCATTTCTAATTAAACAAAAACACATAAAGGTTAATCCAAGATTAAGAGTGTTAGCACAGTCACTCATGCCCCAGTTCCAGCTGGACTACTGCATAGGAAATGATACTGGAAAAGATAATAAAGAACCAGATCTGCCAACATCTAGAAACAAGTAAAGTAGTAACTAGCAGTCAGCACCAGTTTGTTAAAAACAGATCATGCCAAACCAATCTTATTTCACTCTTCAACATAGTGCCTAATTAGTAGACCAGCAAAATACTGTGGACATAATATATTTACATTTCAGCAAGGCATTCGACAAAATAGACCACAACCTACTTCTTAGTAAGCTAGAAAAAAAGTGGAATAGATAGCACCACCACTAGTTGGACTCATAATTGGCTGACAAACAGTACTCAATGAGTAGTCCTTAATGGGTCTAAGTCTACATGGATGGAAGTAAGCAGTGGGGTTCAACAAGGTTCTGCCTTAGGCCCAGTACTCTTCAATATCTTCATTAATGACTTAGATGAGGGAATAGAAGGGGAACTTACCAAATTTGCAGATGATACTAAGCTGGCAGGAATAGCTAACACCCAAGAAGATAGGCTCAAGATCCAGATGGATCTTGACAGACTAGAACACTGGGCTGTATCTAACAAAATGAAATTCAATGTAAAGAAAAGTAAAGTCCTACACTTAGGCAAGAAAAACCCAAAGTGCACATATAGATGAGTGAAACCAGGCTCAATAGCAGCAAATGTGAGAGGGACCTTGGAGTCTTAGTGGACAACCAGCTAAATATGAGCCAGCAGTGTGCAGCCGCTGCCAAAAAAGCTAATGCAATCCTAAATTGCAATAACAAAGGGATACAATCGAGATCAAGTGAGTTACTAATACCACTCTATAAAGCCTTAGTAAGACCACACCTAGACTACTGCATCCAGTTTTGTTCACCACATTATAAAAAAGATGTTGAGACTGTAGATCTAGAAAAAGTACAGAGAAGACCATTAGGGGACTGGAGACTAAAACATATGAAGAATGTTTAGTCTAGTGAAGAGAAGGACTGGGGAGACATGGTAGCAATCTTCCAATTTTGAGGGGCTGCCACAGAGAGGAAGGAGTCAAGCTATTTTCTAAAGAGCCTGTAGGCCAGACAAGGAATAATGGATGGAAACTGAACAAGGAGAGATTTAACCTGGAAATAAGGAGAAATTTTCTGACAGTGAGTACAATCAACCAATGGAACAGCTTGCCCTCAGAAGTTGTGGGAACACCATCACTTGAGACTTCCAAGAAGAGACTGGACTGCCATTAGTCAGAAATGGTGTAGGGTCTCCCGCTTAGGCAGGGCGTTGGACTAGATGACCTATAAGGTCCCTTCCAACTCTGATTATCTGTTATCTGTTATAGGGCTACCCTTGAAGAGCATTTGGAAGCTACAACTGGTACAGAAGGCAATGACACTTACAGTCCTGGAGGCCCCTGGCATGACATACATGACCCCAATGTTACACAAGCTGCACAGATTGCCCATCATCTTGTTTGTTTAATTTTTAACTTTTATTCCGATTATAATTGTTTTTAGCAATTTCTAACTTTTTATTACATTGTAGGTCACCCAAGAGAGCAGGCTTCTCATTACTCCATTCTTTTTAATTAAAATGAATTCACTGTTTTCTTTTCAGGGATAAAATGTGTGGCAAGTTAATATGCGAAAAGGAAAACTCGACATGCACCTGCTTTCCTACAACAGATGACCCAGATGATGGAATGGTTGAACCTGGAACAAAATGTGAAGATGGAATGGTTAGTAAAAGATGACCTCTAACCTATGTGCTCAGATTCCAAAGGTTGATCACTAAAAATCTAACAATAGATTTTGCTGGTTTATATTTTCCACAGTACAGTGAATCTGCATAGAAGGAAAAGTAATCCTCTAGCCCCAGGGGTTGCCAACCTTTTGGACCACAGTGACTACCAAATTCATAATTTTAAATCCCAGGGACCACTAACCGGTTTTGTGGGTGTGGCCTATTTTGTGGGTGTGGCTTGGTGGCCATGTGACTGACTGGCTTGTATGTAAATATTATAAATATTTGTATAAATATAAATATTGATTTTTTTTATAAAAAAGAGCAACTTTTACCCCAAATCAGGCAAAGCAGGCAGGCAGATTGAGATGCTCACAGAATCACAGATTCATTCAGAGATCTATCTATCTGACATCGTCTAGCTCAGTCTGTCACATAAAATTTGCTTGAAAGAAAACTCATAAAATTAACTCACAACACACCATGTATGTAAATATTGAAATTTTTATTTAAAAAAGAGCAACTTTTACCCAAATTCAGGAAAAGCAGGCAGGCAGATTGAGTTGCTCACAGAATCATTCAGTGATCCATCTATCTGCCATTGGCTACTTGAGTCTGTCACATAAAATTTGCTTGCTGTGAGTCTACACTGAATAATAGAACCTTCAGTCCTAAGGGAGGTTCGGCTGTGCTTAAAAGCAGAGGCAAAGATCTAAAGACTAGCTAAAAAGCAAGAAATGCAACCATTTCCTGCTTTCTATCTAATCGAAATCTCCCAGCACAGCAGAACAGCTGATGGTTGGAAAAAGGAAAAATAGCAACTTAGCAGGCAAGTTTGCCAGGTAAGGAGTGAATGAGCGGGGAGGGTTCCCATGGGCCATGTGGGTCACACAGCCTTGTGTTTCTGTGCAGCCTGGATTAATTGCTTTGGGGGGGTGCTCTGGGGGTGACATTTCTCTGAGGCCCACCAAAATTTTCTCGTGACCACTGCTCCAGCTTTCTTTTGGTTTTCTTCTTTTGTTTTTCCTACAAACAACCACAACAAATGAGGTGAATGTCCAGGGCTGTTTCTTTCTTCTAAGAACAAAATGGCCTTCTCAGAGCCTTGTGCTTCTCCCTTGCAAGCACTTTCTCAACAGACTGTCAAGAGACAATCCTTTCTCTTAACTTGTAGGTATCTTCATAGGGAAGGTGGAAGAGAGAAATGAGAAAATCAGGGCAGAGCTGGTTGTGGCCTAAAGGCAGGGGTAGGATATGAAAGGGTTAACAACTGGTTCGGGAATTACGAGTTTCCCTGCCCACTGTGAATTGCACGCCTGTCAATCGTCATGAGCACATCATTAGCACGCTGCTGCCGCCACTGCTGCTGAGAAGCAGCCTTTGAAACAGCCCTCTTTTCTTGTTTTTTTAACTGCAGCTGTGCCTTATTTGGCAGCTGAAGTTGAAAAATCAGGAAATAAAGATCAGGTAACAGCCCAGGTGGGTGGGTGGGCAAAAACATCAGCAGACATAGAACTGGTTCTATGTCTGCTGCTCTTCAGAGCTACCGGTTCTACAGAGGTGGACAGAACTAGTAGAAACCTACCCCTGCCTAAAGGACACCAGTTCAATGAAGCCACTTAGATGTGCTAAAGCAACCTCAAAGCTTATGTGAAAGGATCAGGAATCACTTCCCCCTGTTTTTTTGTACAATGTAGAACCTTTAAAAAGTTTGGGTTAGTTCTAAGGAATGACAGAGTTTAGTTGTGTAGGAAAGTGCTTTCTTATTCTATTGATAAACTCTTGCTTTGACTTTCAGGTGTGCAGCAACAGGCAGTGTGTTGATGTGCAGACAGCCTACTGATCAAGCACTGGCTTCTCTCAATTTGATTTTGGAGATCCTCATCCAGAAAGCTTCCCTCAAGTCCAAAGAGACCCATCTGTCTTTATCCTACTAGTAAATCACTCTTAGCTTTCAGATGGCATCTAACATTTGCAATGTTTCTTCTCCATAATTTAATCAGATAATCTTTTGTTATAATCAGATCTTTTCCCTGCCACAAAGCTCATGTACAGCACCAATGGTCATGTACAGCACCAAAGGCTTATTTGCTGACAAGAAAAAAATAGCCATTTTACTGTTTGCCAATTGCAATTCACATTTAAGGCAATAAGCTCTGCCCTTTGAGCTGGCATATTCAAAGGCAATGCTCCCTCTCCCAAAATTATATGCTGGCTTTCCAAGAGGTAGCTTCTTCCATCAATAAACTATTCTCATTCTGCATTTTGTAAAGGCTCATCTTTCAAATCTGGTTTGCTGAAGTAAACCACATCAAAACTTGCATGCAATCAGGAGGTAAACCATCCAAGTGAATTATCTACTGGTACCAAAGAAGTTGGATTTAGTTTATTCCTAGTCACCTGTTTCATTCTGAGACATTCTGTCTCATTCTAGCTCAGAAAGAGCCCCTAAGTATAAATCATTCACATATTGCAACACACATGCTTTTCAAAAGGCAACTGGACTTCCTTGGTTTTTCCTTGAAAATGTTTCACTTCTCATCCAAGATGCTTTTTCAAGTCCAGTTGCCTTTTGAAAAGCATCTCTGAAACAACCATGACCTGGATGATTGAGAATCTCCATAGACACTGCAACACAGTGCTATTTGTTCCTGATTGGGGGTTCATCTGAGTAGCTCAGAGCCAAGAGCTTCACCAAAAATGGTTGGGCTATTTTCAGACCCTTAGGGTAAGGCAGTCCAATATAGCTGAGTTCCTGTATCTGTTCATTGTCAGATCACTGAAAAGCAAATAACTTCTCATGATCCACTTGAAGGGGAATAGAGAAGAAGGCATCCTTTAAGTCCAATACAAAACAAAGGTGAAATCAAAGTAGGATTTGATACTGTAGGGTGAATTGTCACTGTGAGTAAATTGATAATTCTCAAGTCCAGAACCAGATAAAAAGACTCATCATGTTTTTTAATTGGCAGAGCTGAAAATTGAAATAAGTTTTCCCTTTCTTGAGAAGATCATATTGTAGGAAGTGATTAATAATTGGCCTCAGTCCTACTCTAGCTTTCTCTGAAAGAACATACTGTTTAATTTGCACAGGTTCCTCTTCAGGGCAATTTCCACAGGAGGAATATATTTAGCTCCTCCTGGAGTGCTTGTAGCTCAGCCTCATGACATAACTGCATTTGAGATAGACTGCCTTGGATGGGGAAGATATTGCCTGAGTGGGGATTTCAAGACAGGCAATAAGAGTCTCCAATTGGCAAAAACATCATGATTTTTCTTTGATCAAAAGAAAGAGTGACTTGCCATTTAGAAAGTAAGTCATATCCCAAAAGTGTAGCCAGACAGTGATGCATATTCAAAAAGCCAAGTGTCAACTTTTCCCTCTAACATCCATTCCCAAAAGTGGTTAAAAAGGGTTGATGTGGGATTGTCCTGAAGCTCTAACAATGGGTATAAGATGATTAGATTTAAGAGCCAGCGATTTAGTGACTACAGAATGTGTAGCACCCATATCCCGAGGAAATAAATATTTTCACCTCCTACCATAGCAGATATCAAGAGCTGGGGAGGCACTAGGGCTGTTTGAAGACTCCACCCCTGGCTGCTTCATTCTTTGTCTTCCAGCATAAGAAAATATGGCTGGTAGGCAAGTCCCCTGTTTGAATTCAATGGTCTTGCATCTTGCCAATGTCCTATTTTAGGGCAGGGGTGGGATTCAAATTTCTTAAGCGGTTCTGTGGGAGTGGCCTAATTTGTGGGTGTGGCTTGGTAGTCATGTGACTTGGTGGGCATGGGTTGTATGTAAATATTATAAATATTTATGTAAATATTGATTTTTTTATAAAAATAGAGCAACTTTTACCCAAAAGCAGGTAAAGCAGGCAGACAGATTGAGTTGCTCACAGAATCACAGAGATCTATCTATCAGCAATTGGCTAACTGAGTCTGTCACATAAAATTTGCTAGCAAGCAAACTCACAAGATTAATTCACAACACACCATGTATGTAAATATTGAATTTATTTTTTAAAAAAAGAGAGAGCAACTTTTACCCCAAAGCAGGCTGGCAGATTGAGTTGCTCACAGAATCAAAGATTAAGTTAGAGATCTATTCTATCTGCAGTCAGCTACCTGAGTCTGCACTTCATCCTAAGGAAAGTTCAGCTCTACTTTTAGATTAGCTAGAAAGCAAGAAATCCAAGATTTCCTGCTTTCTAGCTAATCTAAGTCTCCTGGCAGAGCAGAACAGCTGATGGTCAGGGAAAAAAAAGAAAAAAACAGCAACTTACCAAACCAGGCAAGTTGGATGACTCCTATGCCAGGTAAGGAGTGAGTGGGTGGGGAGGGGCGGGGCCAGCCAGTGGAGCGATTTGCTGGTTCTCCGAACTGTGGACAATCATGTGTGCAGCGTTTGCAAGAAATCATCAGCTGTGCTGCCTGGACAGCTGACAAGTGCTGCACTCTGGTGCTCAGTGTTTAAAGATCCTCTTGTTTCCTGCTTTTTCAACCTCAGCTGTGCCACACAAAGCAGCTGAGGAGGGAAAAGCAGGGAATAAAGGACAGCCTAGAGCCCAGGCAGGCAGGTGGGCCAAACACTGAACTGGTTCGTTGTCAGTTGTTCTTTGCAGCTAGAGGTTCTGTGATGACCTGGAGTGTACCACAAATATAACAAAAGCCAAAATGTAAATAAAGGTCCTTTAATGCCTTCACCTTGGCTTCATTGTTCAATTGTTCACAGTTGGAGATTAAACTATTTTCAAAATAACATTCCAAACGAAAGAAATACAGTTCAAAATCAAAGAGCAGATAAGGAAGCAAAAATCAAAAACAAACCGCACTGAAAAAAGTTCCACGACAGACCAGGATAATTAATTACAAACTTCCAGAATATTACCAGGTACAGTCTGTTAGACGAACGCCAACCAAGATAAACCTGGAAAAACCACTTTTTGTCTTCAGCATTTGCTAGCACGCAGGTCCAAACTCTTATGCAGATCTCATACCTGCAACCCATGAAGTGGATCATGGCCCTCTCCTCCTGAGTAGACCACATTTTTCCCTAATCCTCTTCTCCCTGAGTGCCCTGGGATGGATAGGGGATGGGCTTGGGTCCTCCTCTGACTGCTCAGCTGGCCTCTGCCCTTCCCCAGCTTCCTCCACAACCTCTGGAGCCACACTTCCACTCCCTGTCGGCTGTTCCTCCTCTCTCTCAGAGTCAGTCTCCACCAGGGGCATGGCAGGTTCTATAGAACCGGGCTGAACTGGTAGTATCCCACCCCTGTTTCAAGGGTATTAAACTCAAGGCACAGGAGCCAGATCTGGCCCATGGGGCCACCCTGGAAAAAAGCAAAGGACTGGCCTGTGGTGCCTCTGCCAGCAAAAATGTAACTTGGGAGGGTCACTCACATCCCTCCTGAGCTCCATTTTTGCTAGCAGAAGGTTACAGGAGGCCTTCACAGCTGAAAACAGAGTTCAGTAGCCCATTTTCACTGGCACAGCACTCAGGCCACTACAGGCACCCCCAACATGAATGACATTTGAGCTGGCCATGCCCATCCTAGCTGTGCCACCCCCCAGAGGGTAAAAGAAAACCTTGATGCGGCCCTCAGTGTAATTGAGTTTGACACCCCTGTCCTATTTGCTTACCAAAAGCACACTGATGTTTCTGTAGAGTCTCCAGCAAGTGCAGAGTGCTTTAGTGAGGTCAGTGGTACCGTTCCTGTAGCCCAGTGAGACAAATCTTCTCCTCTGTGTTACTTATCTGTTTTATTAAGACAAAATGTGGCTACCTTGAATATCTCCACCACCACCACCACCACCTCCTCCTCCTCCTCCTCCTCCTCCTCCTCCTCCTCCTCTTCTTCTTCTTCTTCTTCTTCTTCTTCTTCTTCTTCTTCTTCTTC